CTCCATCATCTCATTTACTGACTTCCCTGCCAGTTCTCTGTCCCACTGAACCCTATGCAGGAAATTCTTCAGGCCTGTGTAGTCACCTCTCTTGTAGTTTGGCTTCATTCATCCTGCCCTTTCTGCTTCCCTCTCTCCAATTGTAACTCTACTATACATTCGAAGCTCAGAACCATGTGGTCACTAGCCCTGAGGGGTTTTTCATAGGTGGTGTCCTCAATATCTGCACTACTCAGAGTGATTACGAGGCCCAGTCTTGCTGGTTCATCCTCTCCTCTCTCTCTGGTAGTGTCCCTTATGTATTGGTACATGAGGTTTTCTAGTATCACCTCCATCATTTTAGCCTTCCACGTCTTTGGGTCCTTCTGGCTACTTCAGCCAGTGTGTCGACCATTGCTCTATTACTCTCATCATACTCTTGCCTTGGCCTCCTGTAGTTCTGTGGTGGGTTATACATCACTGCAATTACCACCTTAGGACCTCCAGACTGAAGTGTTCCTATTATGCAATCTCTTGCTTCTCCTCTGTCTCCTCTCTCCAGCTCATCAAAATCCCATTGGTTATTGATGAGCAGTGCCACTTCTCCGCTCCCTCAATCTTTTCTCAGGATCTGAGATCCCGTTGGAAAGATGACATCTGTTATCATTCCTGTGAGCTTGGTTTCTGTGAGAGCTATGGTGTTCAGTGGTGCCTCTTTGACTCTCGTGCCACTCCTCCCACTTATTCGTTATTCCATCAGCGTTGGTGTACCATACCTTCAGTTTCCTCTTCATCACTGTGTTCTGGGGGGTCTGTGAGGGTGGGAGACCTGACAGTGTGCTGTGAGATTCTACAGCATAGTGTGGGGGCTGCAAGTGTGGATTGTGGTTTGCGTTGGGTTAGCATGTTTGGTTGTGGGGTTCTGGGGTGGTTGTGTGTGTGCTTGCACTTGTTGCTTTGCACTGCTCCGTTTGTCCTCTGCTGACTCAGTCTTTGTCTCTCTTCTTAGCCCCTTTTGCTTCTGTGTCCTCTCCCTCAGCTGCTGATAATTTGTTCTTGTTCTGTCTCTGTCCAGGAGCACCCCTTGTATGTTGATGATTCCTCCAGCTGTAATTTCTCTTGCAGGATCCTTTTCTGCACCGTTTCTGTCTTGAAAATCAGTTTGACTGGCTGATTTCTTCCCTTCAAGTACCCCCAAATTCTCCGAAAATTTACTATCTCAGTCATGTCCTCCTTGCCTATTTCTTTGATGATGTTTTCAATCTCCTGTTTTTCTTCCTGCCATCTTTCATTGTGTGTCTTCCCCTTGCTCTCCTGAAGCCCATGAATAAACACAGACTTTTCCCTCTCCTCCTCCAATTGCCTTTCCCTTTGTGTCTCATGGTCCCATTTGTATATGGCCTTTGTCTCGCTTATCTTTTCCTGAATCTCCTAGTGGCATGGTCATGGCTCTGCATGGGGTCTATCCCCCCTCTCCCTTACTGCTATCCCTGCACTCAACCTCTCTCCCCTTTCACCCCTCGGCCCAGCTTGGTGGACTGATAGGGCCTTAGCATAAGTCTTATCTCCTTCCTTTCCACTGGGCTCCTCATTCGGTAGGGGTGTACCTGCTTCAGATGCTATGTCTCCTCTGGGCAATAGCCCCGTGACTCGCTTCAGCCAATTTACCTCATGTTCTAGGGCTCGTATCCTGGCTTCCGCGGCTTTGACTAGTGACTCCTATTTCTTCTCAGCCTCCATCCTCTTCTCCATTTTTGTAACAAGCTCACATAGTTTGCTCTCCCACCCTTGTTCCATCCTTTTACATTGCTCTTTCATCCATTCTTCCTTACCAGAACCATCTTCCTCTGATCCCCTGAGCATTCGACTTCACCTCTGAGGCACCATTTTTTTTAATGGATTAGGTGGTGTAGTGTGTGTGTGTGTGTGTGTGTGTGTGTGTGTGTGCATGTGTTTTGGGGGAGTTGTAAAGGGGAGAATAATGGTGAGACAGAGGGAGTGTGGGAAGGGGGGTAGATTGTGTGTGTATATATATACTCACCTATTTGTGACTGCAGAGGTCGAGACGTCTAGACATAGCTCCTGGCCCTGCCCCTTCACTGATCGCTACTAGATCCTCTTGCTCCCTGCTCCATGAGCTTTATTATACCTCGTCTTAAAACTATATATGATTCCTGCCTCCACTGGAGTTTACCTGGAGTTTACCTGGAGAGAGTTCCGGGGGTCAACGCCCCCGCGGCCCGGTCTGTGACCAGGCCTCCTGGTGTATCAGAGCCTGATCAACCAGGCTGTTACTGCTGGCTGCACGCAAACCAACGTACGAGCCACAGCCCGGCTGGTCAGGAACCGACTTTAGGTGCTTGTCCAGTGCCAGCTTGAAGACTGCCAGGGGTCTGTTGGTAATCCCCCTTATGTATGCTGGGAGGCAGTTGAACAGTCTCGGGCCCCTGGCACTTATTGTATGGTCTCTTAACGTGCTAGTGACACCCCTGCTTTTCATTGGGGGGATGTTGCATCGTCTGCCAAGTCTTTTGCTTTCGTAGTGAGTGATTTTCGTGTGCAAGTTCGGTACTAGTCCCTCTAGGATTTTCCAGGTGTATATAATCATGTATCTCTCCCGCCTGCGTTCCAGGGAATACAGGTTCAGGAACCTCAAGCGCTCCCAGTAATTGAGGTGTTTTATCTCTGTTATGCGCGCCGTGAAGGTTCTCTGCACATTTTCTAGGTCAGCAATTTCACCTGCCTTGAGAGGTGCTGTTAGTGTGCAGCAATATTCCAGCCTAGATAGAACAAGTGACCTGAAGAGTGTCATCATGGGCTTGGCCTCCCTAGTTTTGAAGGTTCTTATATCCATCCTGTCATTTTTCTAGCAGATGCGATTGATACAATGTTATGGTCCTTGAAGGTGAGATCCTCCGACATGATCACTCCCAGGTCTTTGACGTACCACTACATCACTTGCCAGACTATTTCACTTCCTGACAACTCTATGACTGAAGAAATACTTCCTAACATCTCTTTGACTCATCTGATCTTCAATTTCCAATTATGGCCCCTTGTTTCTGTGTCCCATCTCTGGAACATCCTGTCTTTGTCCACCTTATCTATTCCTCTCAGTATTTTGTATGTCATTATCATGTCTCCCCTAACCTCCTGTCCTCCAGTGTCGTCAGGCCGGGTTCCTTAAACCTTTCTTTGTAGGACATTTCCCTTAGCTCTGGAACTAGCCTTGTTGCTAACCTTTGCACTTTCTCTAATTTCTTGACATGCTTGACCAGGTGTGGGTTCCAAACTAGTGCTGCATACTCCAATATGGGCCTGACGTACATGGTGTACAGAGCCTTGAACGATTCCTTACTGAAGTATTGGAATGTTTTTCTCAGGTTTGCCAGGCGAACATATGCTGCAACAGTTATCTGGTTGATGTGCACCTTAGGAGATGTGTTCGGTATTATACTCACCCCAAGATCTTTTTCTTTGAGTGAGGTTTACAGTCTTTGGCCACCTGGCCTATACTTTGTCTGTGGTCTTCTTTGCCCTTCCCCGATCTTCATGACTTTGCATTTGGCGGGGTTAAATTTGAGGAGTTAGTTGCTGGACCAAGCTTCCAGCCTTATCCTCGTCCGATTTAATTCCCCTCATTAACTTCACATAATCTGTAAACAAGGACACTTCTGAGTCTCTCCCTTCTGTCATGTCATTCACAGGGTTTAGGTACTGATACCTCATTCTTCTCCTGTTCTTCACGTTTCTCCTTTGTATGGACTGATGAAGCCACTGTGTGGCGAAACGTTTCCTCAATAAAGATACCCAAGAGTTGCACATGTGTCTAATTTATCAACATGTCGGTTCTCTGAACCATTCATCTACAATCCTGTCAGACACTGCAACTTCTTGGGATCTTAATACTTGGGAATTCTTCGCTTGCCTAACCCTTGGGCACGACCTACTTCCACTTTGAACAAATGTGACACCACCTACGTCTGCTGCACCTCTCCTGCCTACGGTATATAAGCTACTTCTCGGCACATATGTTGTATTCTATTCAAGATTGATGGACTGACCACATCGACTCAAGGTTGAGGGACTGATTACCTCATTCTTCTCCTGTTCTTCACGATTCGCCTTTGTATGGACTGATGAAGCAACTGTGTAGCGAAACGTTTCCTCAATAAAGATACCCAAGAGTTGCACATGTGTCTAATTTATCAAGTTGTCTCTCAGTGTACTCGTGGCGCCCCTGCTTTTCATCGGGGGAATGTTGCATCTCCTGCCGAGTCTTTTGCTTTCATATGGAGTGACTTTCGTGTGCAGATTTGGTACCAATTCCTCCAGGACCTTCCAAGTGTATATTATCATGTATCTCTCTCGCCTGCGTTCCAGGGAATACAGATCAAGGACTTTCAACCGTTCCCAGTAGTTTAGGTGCCTTATCGCACAAGTAAGTCTGTTCTAGTTTGTGCATGGAGACAGGAATTTCCTGCAGGTTAGTTAACTCCTTTAAAAAAGAAATGTATCCATGGGAACACTTGTGAGAATAGGACTGGAAGAGTCTTGTGTTATGTGTCAACAGTGATTGCCAGAGTGGGCATCTTACAAGTTCCCACTCTACCGAAATGTTGTCAAATTTCCTCCAGGCATTTTTTTTTTTTTTTGTGAATCTGTCTACCACATTTTATATAACACTATTACTGTATAACAGTTATATTACAATTTGTTGATAGTATAATATTTCTTTGTTATTTCTGAACTCTTATTCTAGAAAGATATTTCTTAGCAAGTTTAAACAAGCCGCTGCTGACTGGCGTTGTGTGCTGGGAAAGAAATACTTGTGTAGGGTTATTTAAATTAGCTTTAATTCATCAAGTTATAAATTAAAATATATTTGACTTCTTCATTATTGTAATTAAGCAATTATCTGTAAATTTTGATTTACCATAGATAGTACATATTTTCCAGAAAAGCATTAAAATGTTCTAGGGACATAACGAGGTGATGCGCAACACAAGGCCTCAAAATCAATAACCAATAAGAACGTAGCTCAACCTTGTTTTGCTTCACTCAGCCAATCACAACGCAACATATTCATCATTCCTCGATGACACTCGAGTTTTCGAACGGCGGAATTTATTGATGTATCGTCTGCTGGAGGTCTGCAACAATGCGATTACCGTAAAGGTGATCAAGATTTAGTTAAGGTGTAGTTCTCGTGGTGGAAAATACAGTGGAGATAATGGCGTCGAAGCCGCAGTTGGTGCTACTGGGCTATGTTGATGAGCAAATATCTTCCAGAAATCAACAACTGGCCAGCTTTACCAGCAGCAAAATTGGCGGAACACCAGTAAGTTTATAAAATCGGCTGCATATTGATTATTTTTTCCTATTTCATTTTGTATTATTTATTAGATTAGAATTTGTCTGAGAGTTGTATCAGACAGACGTGTGATGACTATCACCAGTGTATTTAATATGTAAAAGATGAAGAAAAATAGCTTCACCATTAACTAACAAAACAAAACCTTTACTGAAGAGCATTGACCCTGACAGCGTGAGATCGTCTACATATAGGAAAAGCAAAATTAAAATCTCAGAACTTAGAAAAATTAGAAGATAGGATCACTGTAGTATGAGCATGGCACTGCCCTAAATGCTGTGCATCCTGTTGGCTTCCTGAGTATTGTATATTTTGTACATGTATTGATTTGAAACAACTTGAATGTGAGTCTGATCCTTATAGTTCATTGGTTGCGCGTTCGTCTCAATTGAAAGTGCCTGGGTTGAAGCCTGGGCAAGTTCTCCTAACACTTGCTGCTCCTATTACCTGGCAGTAAATAGATACCATTTGGCTCCCTTGGTTTATCCTGGGTTATTAAGGGTTTTCCAAGGTTACTATTCCAAATAGTCTTATAATGGCCTTGTTTGACCACGAGTAGACTCTTGCCCAACTCTTTCACTTGTGTATTTGTCTAACCTATTTTTTTAAGCAAACCCCAAACTACTTGCATCAGTGGATATTTGTTTCACGCATTCACAGCTTTATTGTTTAACCAGCGGTTTCATTTAATTTATATATATGGGAGATCCAAGCATTAACCCAGTGGTGGTACTTTCCCAGCATTAAGATGTATGTTTTAGTGCTGGTGTACCTGTACATAAATAATCCTGGCTGTCTTCATTAGACCCCTGGCTGTCTTCAAGAAGGCACTGGACAGGCACCTAAAGTCAGTATCAGACCAGCCGGGCTGGGGTTTCGTGCATCATTTGGGCGTGCAGCTAGCAGTAACAACTGGTTGTTTCGGGCCCCTGATCCACCAAGGGGCCTTGTCTCAGACCAAGCCGCGGGGTGTTAACCCCCGAAAACCCTCTCCACGTATACTCCAGGTATAGGGCTATGGCAATGAGTTAGGCTTAGGAAAAAAAACAGACAGTAGTGCAGGTTCATTTATTGGTGGTGTTTTGGATGCTAATTTTTTGTCTGATTACTGAAGATCTTACCTGTATGATAGTTCAACAAATTCATGATTTCAGTGCTCAAAACTGGGAACTTATTTTCCCCATAGACAACCATTTTTATAATGAGAGATGCATTTACGAATTATAGTTTTCCAGTTTCATTTACTTTTAAGAATGAAATAAATAAATAATGTGCAGTTTTCAGATGAATCCTTCATTCTTCCCTCCTACTGTCTTATCCAACTTAATACAGCATGGGTAGCAGTAACTGGACTACTTTTTCCTTTCATTTCCCTCTCCTTCCATCACATCCCATACAACACTGTGTGGGCAGAAGCAGCAATTCAACTTTGACAAAACTGTAAATACTACTAGATTTTTCGGCATATAAGACGTGCTTTTCTTTTTTTCCTGTGCTCAAGGTCAGGAACAAGGGTAGGCCTTGGGTTACTGGCTGGTGGTGGTTTTAGTGCTGTGGCACTGGTAAACTAAACCCAAAACCCAATACAAACTGTTTTCCAGATGATATTTGTGATTAGTAACTATTGTAAATTATTCTGTAATTTTTATATTATATTATATTTAAATTAATTCATTTACCAGTATATAATAAGGAAATTGGCTTTTAACAGTTATAATTTTAAAGTATCGGGTTCATTAGGTAATATAAATGAAAAATAAGAAAGGGTGGGAGCAATCTGTAAATAATAGGTAGCCACATTTTTGGTGGTTGGTGGGAGTGGAGCAAAGACAAGCTGCACAAGGTTCCAACTCTTTCTGCTATACTGTGTGCACAAGAAGCTAAACACTGGCAAAAAGAAGGTTTCTTTATCAATACAGATGTATCAAACAATTGTGAACTTTCCCATCATCCTAAAATGAACATAAATATAAATGTATTTTAAAAAATAATGGAGAAAAATAATTTCTGAGTATGTATTTGCTATGTTCTTTTCTGAAGATTGGCAGTTGTAACAAATTACTGCAATTCCCAAGTATCCGTTTAATAAGTACAAATATTGGTGAGTTAGGGGTTTTACTGTGCCTGTTTTATTGGTTGGTGGCAAGACTGAATAAACCTTTCCGGAAGATGATGATTGGTGATGAATTGTTAAATACAGCAAATACTCACTTAGCACAGTAGTTACATTCCATGTTAAATCCACTGTATGAGTTATGTCCTTATAACAGTTAGTTAAGGCATTGTGGCTGATTTTAGTCCTGGTGACTGGGCAGTCAGTATACGTGACACTTGGGAGTGCATATACAATGGAACCTCTGTACTCGAACTTAATGCATTCCAGAAGGCTATTCAAGTGCTGATCTGTTGAAGTATCAAATGAATTCTTCTCAACCAACTTTCTTTTTGGTTGGCTGTTATCACTAATCTTCATAGGCCCCATGGTGATTTATTTATACAAAAAATATAAAAAAAACACCAGAAATGTGAGGAAACACGAAATAGTTACAGTGAAGTTCTGGCAGGTCGTGTTGGTTTGGTCGAGTGCCAAGATTTGTTTGAGTAGAAAGCTGTTTGAGTACCGAGGTTCCACTGTATGATATACTAAAACTTCAGAACTAATGATTTCCTGTCACTGTCATTACTGGTTGACAAAGAGAATCCTCTTATCTTCCACGCTCATTCTAAATGTGAAGTAAAAATGTTCAAAGACTCCACATTATTATCTGGCATTTTGGGTGAAATACATTACAGAATCTTCACAGTTCCCATAAATTCTGCCTTACTGAGTTGTAGCAGCAGACACAAAATCCTTGACACTTCTGCATTCATTCTAAATATGCAAATGTTTAATTTACAAATACTCTAAGAATACATGTATATACACGAAAAGCTGTAATCCTGTATTGAATCTTTAAATTTGCTTATTCAATGTTGTATGTAAATATGTAGACATAGAATAATATACAAGCTATTTTCTTAATTATTGTTACATCCTTACCTTCTGACTTCCAGTATCACTAGCAGTCCTCTTAGATGCCATGGCTAATGTGAAATGATGAGAAGGAATTCAGAAAAATTGAGAAAAGATCTTAAAATCCTTTGGTTTTGGTCATGAAGTGTTAAGCCATTCAGTAAGCAGCTGGCTGTTGGCTCACTAGACGAAAGACTACTCGAGTGCATGGATCTGATTACCCTAGGAGCAGTGTAGAGCTAACTGCTTCGTGTGCATACAAATTTTTCAAAACATTTGATACAGTATATTGCTGTTAAATACATTGCAATAAATTTTGCAAATAACAGTTCACTCTTTAGTGAGTATTTACTGTGCATCCAAGGAAGTGTTATTAAAGTTTGTAAAATGATAGTGGTGTGAGTCTGCAAATGAGAATTGTTATTTAATAAGTGTTTGGTATGTAGTGATTGCTTGTGTGAAACTTGTTGCAGTTATGTAATCAGTGTGAATCCATTCAGATTATTTTTTTGTATACAATTCTTTTGGTGATTATGGAAATCTTTGTACAGGATGGTGTTGATATTGCCAGGTTCCTGCAAGTGGCTAGATAGCCTGTAGGTCTGTGCAGGAAGTCCTCAGGTTGGTGTATCAAGGTAGGCATAACCATCTGTTGCAAACCTTTCTGAGGAGAAGAGATATTTGTGTTATCATATCCATGTAAATGTGTGGATGTGCACCCTGTCCCAGTTTTGAAGATATACTCTACTCTGTTACTGTAGTTAAGTTTTAATTTTCCGTTGTGCAACAAGCTTCATGAATTGTTTTTTAATAAGTGGTAAATGATTGTTTCTTACTACTATTGACTGAAGATATGTCGCTGAGGTTTCAGATGGCTATATATATATTAGTGTTTTTAAAATAGGAAGATACCAATAACCAATTTATGGACTTTTTTCCCATTTTTCATCTTTGAATTTGATTGTTTCAGCGAGTTTTATTATTGTCTTACGACACATCTTTGTGTCAGGATATGTACATCACACTAGTAGCTTTTGACTTAAGTAACTTTTTTGTTTCAATTTAAAAATATGTATAAAGAAATTGCTTGCAGCAGAATGTATTTCAGAAATCTTTCTTATTAATGTATAGTATATAACTAACCATACCACGGGCGGAGATAGAACCCGCGATCAGAGAGTCTCAAAACTCTCTGATCGTGGGTTCTATCCCCGCCCGTGGTATGGTTTGTTTGCAATCATGTCATTACGATTTCGTGAGTTGTATATAACTATATATACGTGTGTGTGTGAATGCATGCATGCGTGTGTGCATGTGTGCAGGTTATCTATTTTCTTTACTTTATTTAAAATGTATAGCCTCACCATATTTGCAAGTTCACTGCAAAGAGCTTGTGTTGAATGCATACATAACTACCATAAGACAGTAATTCTTTTTTTATATCAACATTTACAGTAATAGTACATTGTATCCAGTATGTTGGGATCAAAACTATTCTGAATCTGGCGTTTTAGACATTTTAACTCTGTAAACCTTCACACCTCGTGTATAGAATTTGTGTAAAAGTTTATTAATCTTATGTGCAACAGGTGAAGAAAAAATGGACAGATTTTTGTAGAGAAAAACACACCATACTGAAGTGTAATACAGTACAGCCAGAGTGAGATGAAGGTAATCTTGGAGAGAGGGATTCGTAAAACAGTAAAAACTCAAAATTCCATGTTAGGTTTTGAAGTCTTCCAGAATTCAGAAATTTGCAAATGCTCATAAGTTTTGTCTGTATACAGTAAACTGTCGGATAATATGCAATCCGCTAACATGTTTTTTCTATAACATGGTTTCAAAATTGTGGCTTTTCTCCATGAACATGCCATGAAAAATTGGCTTACAAGGTAGAGTACATGTAGAGGAAAATGTGGCTTAAACTGCAGTCTTTCCTCTCCATTTTGGAATG